GGATATGTGAACCGGAACTAAACCCAGCCCTGGTCACAGGGCGAAACATTCGCAATTCCATCACATCATGCCCCAACATATTATGTAAACGCTACAATCTTGAACTACTCAAGTCTTCTTTCACTTGCTAAGAGTATGTAGTGTTGACGGTACTTATTGCACGACAGGAGTTCTTCCGTTGGAATAACTACCGCCCGGACACTAAAAAAAAACTGAAAGGAGGTGGTTTTCATTCATCGTCTGGTTGTCTGGTTGTTGTGCGTTGTGCCACGCGCACGCCCGGGCCGTTCTTTTAAGGGGGTGCAGAAGACGAATATTGATGTTGACAAAATTTGAAAACAAACGCAAGAGCACCAGAAATCGCACAACAGACACACCAGACCACCAGTAGGAAGGCACCGCGAAAAACAGAAATCGCTGATTCTCGCACAGGTCGGCAGCAGAGGCTGCTCAAATCATACATTTCACGCGTCTACCTCCACACGCCTCCTTTGAAACCAAGATAAAACTTCACACCATTCTAAATTCTAGTCAATAGAGGCAAAACGATGCGTGCGGTGGCCGGCGCCATCTTGTATCCACCAAAGATGATGTACTCGTTGCACAATAACAAAAACAGTAGATTCCACATGCGATCGAGCATCAACCGCGAGGCCGGCGCACAACAGGCACACTCGGGCATCAGATCGCAAAATTCTTTTCTGGCGTCCTACTATGTAAAAGTAGGCCGTTCTCCTTTGGCTCGGTACCGAGCGTTTAGCGTAAGTGTACTGTTGCTTTTTTCACGATAATCAAAACGCCACTACCTTAAGCACGGTACGCCTACCTGTCGTGTCTTCACGTCATGCGTACATGAGGAGTCTGTCCCCGCTTCCGTTGTCAAGCCCGAAACAATGAGCAAAAAAAGTAAGCCAGGTTGGGACTACAGCAACGCCGACGATATTCGTTGGCTTGCTTTCAACAATGTGGTAATGGGCTTTGCGTAGGTTCACTTTTGTTGGGGGTACTCTAAGGCTAGGGCCGAACTACAGTAATACTGCAGCCGTTCTTGCTGCCGAGGGAGTGAAGTGGCTACACCGCTCGAGCGCGGGGTCTCCGCAACGTTTTGGTCGAGGTAGGCCAAGGGTGGACGTCTGCATTCCATAGTGCACGTCAACTCTGTTTAGCGAGTTGTGTAAACATACATGGAACGATGAAATGCACCATAAATGTGCCTTAACTGTGTGCGCTAGGAATGCGTTGTAGTTGGAAAACCACGACGACAATCATCATCAACATTATTATCATCCACACCCACATCCTCGAACCAATTTTCAGCGAAACTGCCCGGAGAATGTAGCATCAGGCCTCGACGCTCGTGAATGACAAATCCCAACGCTCGACGGAAAACCAAGAACCACGTGTCTCATGTAGGAACTTGCCATGTTGGTACTGGCCGAGTTTATCGCGCCACCCGGTTTCCCCCCTCCTTGGCGGTGACGCCAGTAACGGCAGCACAGGATCAGTGGACAGCGACCGCCGTCTCGACCATGCGATTCTTTCCAAGTAAACCGGGCCGGTGTGAATGAGCAATCATTGCTTTGGCCTATGGGTGAACCGCCAAATTGTGATTGCTCGCTGACAACTGCTGTCCTTTGAAGCCGATAGCGTGGGGACGATCGTGTACAGTGTAGACTGCTCAAAGCCAACACCCTGATGCTGCAGAGGCCCAAATTGTGTAGCCAACAAATCTCAACTGATGAACCCGTTAGAATATCCATTCAGAAAGCACAAGAGCCCCACCCAACCTGATACTTTGACTTGTCAGTCCTTTCTCTAAGAAACGATAAAGCGTGCACCTGCCGAGCAGCATCCGTGTTGCTATCGATATTCAAGGATAAAATACAACTACAAACATACATATGGAAGCAGCCCCCCCACGTTTCCTTCTCACGACAACACCGTTAGGAATTTGAGAACACAAGCACCTGTATGTTCCCAGAACACACGCACAACACGCCGTTACGATAGCAGAGACCAACCAGTGATCCCAGCCAGCTAAAATCCTGCGCCTCACACTATCCCTTCATCCCGAGATAGCGTCACACGCTGTTGCAACTCCCCCAAGAAACATAATTACACCCTAACCAACATGATAATTCGACGTGTCAGTCCTTCCTCCAGAATAGATTCCGAGACGCATACACGATAGAGCGTGCACCTGCCAAGCAGCATCCGTGTTGCTATCGTTATTCAAGGATAAAATACACCTGAAAAGAAAACAATATGCGAGCAGTCCCCCGCCGTTCCATGTCAACACAACGCCTTTAGGAATTTGAGAACACATGCACCTGACCTGTTACCAGAACACATGCACAACACGCCGTCCCGATAGCAGAGACCAACCAGTGATCCCAGGCATCCACAATCCTGCACCTCACACTATCCCTTCATCGCGAGATAGCGTCACCCGTTGTTGCAACCCCTCCAAGAAATATGGTCTAATTACGCCGAACCCCCCCCCAGCTGAACGCGAATGAACTACATACGAAAGCAGTCGCTGCAAGTTCCGTGTAGAACCATGGGCACACGAATCACCCTCCACTATTAGGGTTTGATGACATAACGCCAGCAGTGACGAACCAATCAGATGAAAGAAAACAAACGCAAACGGAACAGAAGCAAAAACAAACATATGAACCGAGGCGACCACCAAGAAACAAAAGAGAAATAGCGACAAGAACGGTGAATTGATGTTCATCACATAACCAGTGTGAAAACCAAACGCTGCCTAACGACCGGCTTGGTCAGATAATCGGCATGATGGGAAACCTTCGTCACATACTCTTATCCTGATCCGCTTCCGTGCTGCCCGTTCCCAAATAGTTTTCTATCGTGATCTGCTTCCGTGCTGCCCGTTGCCGGAAGTCAAGAAAATAGCTTCCTCCAGCCTATCCCCCATCTCAACATCACACGACCAAAGCGAGACGTTCTTCTGCGTCCTATGTAGCCAAGGCCCGCGTGGTGACCGGTGACGACGGCATTCCAAAGGACCCCGAACATGGCCAAATTGATCCCACCGCAGGAAAACGCGGTTGGTAGTCTGTGAACATTGCCAGGATATGAACCCATACCAAAAGAAAACCAACTGTGAAAGCATAGAAGGATCAACGTAAAGTATCAAGGAAACCTCATCACAAAACTCGCGGTCTCCCTCTCAGCGAGGAAGTGCGATGTCTTTCACTTTTCGTACACTCAGATAAACATGAGCCTCGCGCACCCATCTCTTGTCTTGAAGAATATCACCCGACAAGGTAGAAATGCGGAGACAGCGAGGGTATACTCGAAAATTCCTCAGCCTCACGGCACATCTTCTAAATAGTAGGCAGGAGAATCTTACCACGCGCTCAATCAGAAAAACAACCTCGGCGAATGTTTGAGGTGTCTTCTGATGTGCGAATCCCCTGTTCGGTCCACCTCGTATGCTACTTTCAGATGTGCCCTCTGGTGACACCATAGACTACGGGTAAGGCGGTTTTAGTCTTTTCTCGGCTTCTACTCATGGCCCTCCTCCTTCTCGTCCAGGAGGGGGAAGTGGGTGCCCAGAGCGCCGGATACGCGGTAGTCTTCAACGCTGCCACGGAAAGCGCGGAAACCTTTCATTACCGCTTGTCCGTTCTCGTCGTATACCGGGCGGGCCGTCTCACCGAGAAGGCCAAACAACACCGGGTTGTCCAAGTCCACCCCGCGCAGTCCAACATCCATCTGCCAGAACTCCAGGTCAGGAAGGACGCGTCCATCCCCGTCTACGTCGCCGTCGCCCTGGTAGTTCACGCCAGCGTTCAGACGTACCGTGACAGTAGATGTCTCGATCTTGAAGATGGCGTGGATGGACTGCAGGTCGGCGAGGTCGTTCTCGGCGATGTACTTGTTGCACCAATCGGGCGCCGCCATGGCGTGGTCGTACCTCAAGATCCATTCTTCGAGGCTTTCACCTCCGAGCAGCTCGCGCCTGCCGTCAAGCATTTCCTGGTGCATGCGGGCCCATATCTTGTGACCGCCGAACTGCCGGCACTCCACGGGAAGGTTGGATGCAGACACAGTCATGTCACCGTCTGCCACCGGCATCTCCCGGGAGAATTGAAGGAGTTCGTCCACCTCTTGGCCGTCGGCAATGATCCGCAGTCCTCCGTTCGAAAGGCAGGGCGAGACCCCCTCAGGGCAGCCGTCCGTATCGGTGGTGTAAGGGTTGGCGACCTCGATGACGAGAGAGTGCCCCTCTGACAGAACAGCCAGGCTGGTCATCAGCTGGAGGAGCGGTGACGCGAACATTGACGTTGAGATCGGCGTTGTCGTCCTTGATCAGGGAGTACCAGCCGCCGTCAACCCCAGACCAGTTAATTGTCTGGCCACGGAGCCCTCTCATGTGGGGGTCACCCCACATGTCATCAACTGAAAGCGAAGGGGTACAGACGTATCGCAAGCCGTGTGGTAAGTGGCACGACATACAAATGTCGACACTAACCGTGCACAGCGTGACCCTTCTCTGCACTTTGAAATAACACATCTGAAGAGCCAAATGGAGACTACATACATTTCAAGCAAATACTTCGCGCCTCAACATGCATTCGAGGGTGGTCGCCTAAGCCGTTTAGCGTTCGAAGTTCAGTGCGGAAGCTTGACAATGTTTTTTGTTATTCTTGATTTAGTCTAATCTGGAGTATTGTTGGAGGGTTATAGACAAAATATAGTAAAACAACGAAATCATATCAATAGATAATGGAGGTACTCCGACCTCGGGTTCGTTTCGGCTATATATACAACATTACAGGAAGCCACGCCGATTCGACACCTTTTATCTTACCAGGGCCCGGCGTAGGTGTTGGCGGCGTAGGCGTAGGTGTTGGCGGCGTTGGCGTTGGCGGCGTAGGCGCTGGCGGTACTGATGGTTGCACAGACGGTAGGGCAAAGATACCACGCGATACATGAACACCGTGCAAAATTTTAGGGTCGTATCAACATCATGGTGCCTATGCATGGGAGGAGCAAAAAAGCGAAGACAACTCTAGCAACAAACGCATATATAGCATAAATAGTATCAAAATGGACGGCTAGACAGCAGCGCGCATTAGACAGTCCCACTAACAGAAACTCTAACACGCGCTGTCTTACCTGAACCGCAGCAAACTTCTTTAGTACAGTTAAGGCTGCTGCTGGTGCCGTCGCCGCAGTCGACATCATCGCCAAGGTAGGACGGTTTCGGGTCCTCGCATTCAATTACATCGTTCGTCAGGTCCCACCCGTATTTCCATCCGCAACAGAATGCTGCAGGATATGACAAGCCGTCGGAAACGATGGCGGAACAGACATACGTGTGAGAATTTGGAGTCTGACACCAAGCGATGGTTGTAACCAGGGCGTCTCACGGGGTCTCCCCCGCGTGGACCCTACCTAGACCTATGCCTCTTTTGCTGCGTTCCCAATCCCACCGGTATTGTCGGGAACACGTGTCAGGCGTCTTCAACGAGCGGGTACATTGGGTTGCACCTCCTTCCTCATGGCCGTTAGTGAGAGCTCATGGACACAAATAGCTCAGAAGTCATACCCGTGCAGGTCACGCTTTTTGAGGCTGATTTTGCCATGGTTTGTGTTGAACTTGAACTTGAGACTCGGAGGTTTGTCCCGCTTGCGGTCATAAAAGTCGCCAGAGAGTTTGTTTCAATTTCGCCTTTCGCGAGCGGGGAATGGTCAAACGCTTCCTGGCACGCTTAAAACGAGTCTAGTCTTCGGGTGCACAGGTAACCCTGGCATATTTCGAGGACAAATCTTCGAGAACAACACTGTAGATGGTAAAAACTCCCAGAGCATGTTTTCTACTTGAAGATGCTTCGAGCTATGAAAGGACCTTGTTACCTGGTAGTTATTTGAAAGGTTTGATGAACTAGGGCGAATATGGCGACATAACACAAACGAACGACACACACACCAGAACCAAAGGACACATCAACACCATGCGTCGAAACGTCATCAATCCAAGCTTTATTGCCCAAGCCGGCAACAAGCCGGTCCTCACTCCGACTCGGAGCTCTGACGACTCGTCGAAGAGTGACTCATCGCCCCCGGTGGGACCTTTCGGCGTGCTACGGGGCTTTGGCAGCCGAAGGGCTGCGTCTTGTCGAAGGGGTCGTTGATAGGGATCCCCTCCATAAGGAGACTGTGCTCATCGTCACCTCTCTAAGTATGAACTTGTTTATATAGGAAATTATAGGGCGCTGGGGGGGGGGGGGGGAGGGGTCCTTTATACAAAAAAAATGCTAAAGTCCCCCATTGGGCAGTGGAGGACTCAGAGCTAAGACACCCCAAAACTCTCCGGCGTGAGATCCAAAATGGATCGGACGGTGGAGGGGGGTGGGTGTTCGTTGCTTGAAGTGGATCAATAAAACATCGAGCCATCAAACAAAGCTTATTTCTCACGTCGAGCAAGCTGAACGACCTGACCAACCACGCAAAAACTGCGGAGCTAGATGTGCGGCACGCACAATGTATTGTTTTCGATTGGAGAGAGGCGAGCACAAAGCAGTAAGGAATTGTTGGCCAAACGTTCGGCAGATAGGTCTACTCGGGAGCGTAAGGGAGCGTAAGTGGGGTAGCAACCCATGGTGGAGCGTACCTGAGAAGCTGGATGTTGGTGTACGCTCCATCCCGGCGCGTGAGTAGGATTTTAGGCTATGCAAATCGTCCCTGAACTTATTGTGGTGAAAATGACCTCCGAGGAGGAAAGCCACGGGACTCGGAAATGATAAATTGGGTGGTCGGGGGACGTCTGGGTGTTTACTAAGCAGAACGCCCGGCACAAGACTGGGGTACTTGTCCCAGGAGATGTGAACTTGGATCTAGACTACGAGCCTATGTTGGAGGCGCTATTTAGCGTCGGTGAGCCGGCAAGAGAACTGAAAGGAACCACAACCCCTATCGGACACTCGGATTGGGAAGGCCGAGTATTCCGTATACCTTCCTGAATAAACACGAAAAACAAGTGGCCACGGTCTAGTTGCTGTAGAGATCATGAGGATGGTGAAGAAGCCGGGAGGATGGATGCAGAAACTGGGGACACAGGTTGGAGCTGCTGCTGATCGGGATTCCAAGGGACATGACGAGGACCGAGTTCAAGAACTGTGGTGACAGGGAGGGACTGCACTGCCTAGCACGGGGATAAGTACGCAGAGAGCATGAACATTTCCGGGTGAAATTAACCAAGGGAGACAGCCAAGAGTGCTTGGGGGTTGACATCGAGAAGCTGTCGAACTACGTAAGGAAGGTTGGATGGAGGGTTTGCGTCGCGAACATGATAGAAACAGACGAGGTAAGGAGACAAGAGGCGAGAGCGATGGAGGCGAGCAGGCAAGCCAGAAGAACGCCGAGAAGAAGCGGAAGACAAACGATAGAGTGCGCAAAATCTCCAATAGGGAAAAGCACAAGCGGAGAGTGGGGTCGTGGAACGTGTGCGGGTTCGCAAGGAATGAGCGCAAGCGGTTGGAAATAGTGGACCAAGTAGAACGAAGCGATCTAGATGTAGTGGGGATCCAAGAGACGTGTGAACTGGAGGATGAGGACGTGGTAAGCAAACAAGGGAAATACCAGTGGGTAGGGAAGGCAAGAAAGGGCTTAGACCCGAAGGCAAGGGGGGAGGGGGGAGTCCTGGTCAAGGAACACTTGTTTGATGTGGTGGAACTAGTGGTGAAAACGGAGTTCGAGGAAAGCCTATGGCTTAAGATGCCTGGGGAGCGGGGTGAAGGAACGTATACGTCCCACCGTCGTCGAAGAAAGTCGCAAGCAAGGCGCAGGAGAACTTTGGGCAAATTGGGGAAGATGCCCAGAGGTTTAGTAGGAAGGGAGAAGTTGTCATGGTGGGCGATTTCAACTCCAGAGCAGGGAAAGCTTCCAGTAGAGGGCATGCGATCGGGCAGCACCGAGAAGACTAAGTGAATGACAACGAAGTGAGGATGCTTAGTTCTTCGGTAGCAACGAGCTGATGGTGTTGAACGGTAGGAGGGAATGCGATAAGCCGGAGTTCACCAGGCAAAGGGCAGTTCGCAATGAATACTCGATCCTCGATTACATCCTGGTAGATGGGGGGAGTACACAGATCCCAGAGCTGCACGTAAGTGGGATATAGGTTCGACCCACCACTTCCTCATATGGGCAAACATCCGACTGATCTAGAAAGACGGAGAGAAATAAACAGAGGAAAGTGTTCCGGTGGAAAGTAGAGCGTTTGGGAGACGAGGGGACACGGGATGAATTCCAGAAGGGACTGGCTGGAAAGGCTGGTAGTGTAGAACCCTTCAGGAAACTGCTCAGAAGCGTCGAAGACGGAGAGGTAGACGTACAAGCAGCAGGGGACAGGGTAATTGAAGGATGGGAATCCATAGTGAACACAACGGCAGAGAGAGTAGTGGGAAAGTAGGTGGTACGATGTGGGGTATCGGTTAAGTGGTGGGATGACGAGCTGAAAGAAGAAATAGGGGAACGTAGAGAAGTCTTCAAGCAGTATCTGAGTGAGGGGTGTTAGGAGAGTTGGGAAAAGTACAGGGCCAAGAGGAAACCGGTGAAGGGACTGAAAAAGAAGAAAAAGTGCATTAGGGACGAAGTAGTGCAGAAGGCCAACGGAGGCCTGAAGGGGAACGCCAAGCACATGTGGTAAGGGATTAGTGAGATGGTAAAAAATACCGCGCAAGGGGGGGATACAGGGGTAGCAGCTTTGCGAGGTGTGAACGGTGGACTAGTCAGCAGTGGGAAGGGAAAAAGGGAAGTTCTAGCAGGACACTACAAGAGACTTGGAGTGCCTTCGGAGAATGAAGCTTTTGACCAAGTGTTTAAGAAGGAGGTGGACGCATGGGCCCAGAAAGAAGAAGAGCCATCGAAGGCAGACGTTGGGAACGTAGAACTAGAAAAGGAGTTCACTGAGGACGAGGTTGAGGCGTGTGTGAACAAGCTGCAGTGCCACAAAGCAGAAGGGGCGGATGGGATAGTAAACGAGTTCATGAAGTTTGGGGGGAAGGGGATGATCCAGCTGATGGTACTGCTGTACAACTGGGTGTGGAAAACGAATATCGGCCAAGTAGAGGAGTGGTTGTGAACTTGTTTAAGAAATGAGAGAAGACTCACCCAGGAAACTACATCACATTGTTGAACACAGTAGGAAAAGTATTTTGTAAGTTGCTGAACGATAGGATAGTGGGAGTATTGGAGAAATAACGTAGCATTAGTGAGGGCCAAGCAGGTTTCTGACAGAAGAGGGGGTGCGTAGACCACGTATTCACGGTAGGGAGAATCATCCAAGGTAGAAAGAGGGCGGGAAAGGCGACGCACTGCTTCTTCCTGGACGTGAACAAGGCATACGAAACCGAATGGAGAAATGGGCTGTGGAAACATTTGTCCAAGTACGGAACCAAGGGGAGAATGTGGAGAGTGCTGAAGAAGATGACAGAGTGTACGAAAAGCACGGTCATGCTAGACGGAGAACTGTCTAAATTCTTCGACATTGGGCAGGGGGTCCCACAAGGTTGCACGCTGTCCCCAACATTGTTCCAGGTGTTCACCAACGATCTGTTGGAATTTGTAGAGGCAGTCCGAAAGGGAGTTCAAGTAGGGGACACGGAAACTTCGGTGTCAGGAATGCTGTTTGCGGATGATTTTGTTGGTATGTCGGACACCCCTGAGGGACTGCAACTACAAATTGACGCGGCGAAGAAGTTTATTGATAAGTGGAGATTGTCTGCCAACGTTAAGAAGAGTTCCGTCATGCTATGCAACGAGGTCAGGGAGGAACCAGTAGAACATAGATGGAAGTGAGGGATCGAGGAGATTGCAGCAGTGGACCAGTACATATACCTCGGAGTAGAGATCGCCAAAGACTGTTTGTGGAATGCACACATGTAGGATGCTCCAAGCGCACAAGTAATGCAGCCGTCCGGGCAGAATTGGGGATCCAATCCCTACGGTCGGGAAGAGACGCAAGGAAGCTGACATGGAAGTATCGCATGTGCGGGATGGGAGAGGAGAGGTTGCCGAGAATAGCATGGGAGGCGAAGTGGGCAAACAAAAAGAGGGGTAGACAACCCACGGAATGGGTCAAGGTTGTAGAGGACGTATGGAAGGGGTTAGACATCGACGAAGATGAAACGCTGGAAACGGAGGGTCTACAGGGGTTCAAGGAGAAGATATCTGTGGCACTTCAA